CCAGGATCAGCCAGATGGAGGGTCGTTTCTGTTTCAACAGTCGCGCAATATCGACGAAAGAGTTGACTGTTGCGAGTCATTCCGCCACAATCTCTAGAGTCCCAGCCTGGAGGCTCAACTTGAAGGCAGATGTGTAATATCCTTAGCATCTTGAGCACGCTCAGCTTGAGGTGGACATGGCCCTAACAAATATGGTTTGAACCAACTTATGAAACTAGCACCCGTTCTTGCCTCGAACGAACTCGGTTCTCTACCCAGTAGTCACCATTTTTAAATGTGGCCCTCAGCTGGTTATGTCAGCATGTAGGAGGAGGGAAGGTGAAAAGGGAAGAAATGGACAAAGAAGGGCATTATTTGTCTTGGGAAGCATCGTTGACGATCTCGGGGGCTATGCAGAAATACAGAGTGAACGTTAAAGGTTGGCGATTTCTTGCCGCACTTCTCGCCACAGTCCACGCATACCTATTGGAGGGTGGCATGTCCTGTGGGGAAGCCTCTGGTTTGGTTCAACCTGAGAAACACTAACACTTGATCATCCAGGCCAAGGAATTGAACCCTTGGAGCAAGGGCGTGCAGTGAAATAAGAGACTACCATACTATCCTCCTTGGTATCTACTCCTTACTCAGGTACACTCCCCTTGTTCACGGTCGTGCCTCTGGGATTGAAACTAGAGGTTTGAAAAGAGGATTAGGTTGCGAAGACCTCATCGTCTTGCAAGTTGCGTGCAATTCATGACAAATTCTCTCATGCAGATATGCCTCGCCTCAAAGCAGCCTCTCTGAGGGGTGTTACCTGGAGTAGAGGGGAGAAGAAAAACTCAAGGCACAGGAGGGCAGGAGACCTCCTTGGATGCTATTTGATCCCTTCGGCATTCTTGATGGGCATTGGTAGATGATTCCGTGATGCTAGGTACCTGATTCGAGATGCCCCACGGTAGCTCTGAACTACAGATCTCGGAGAGGGAGAATGTGTTGTTGTGACACTTTGCTTTTCCTCCCCTTGCCCGGCATATGGATCCATAGATCTCTCAAGATCAGAGGTGCGGGAAGCCAGGGGCGTCGGAAGAAAAGAAGACAACAGTGGTATTGTCCAAGAATCTTGCCTAAGCAGAGGCATTCACAGACGCACAAGAACAATAGTAGTAATATCCTTTGTACTAGGAAAAAAAAAGTGGTGCGAAAACGTGGCAAGAGAGACAGACCTTCACGTCGAGTGTGATGGGAGGAACTCAATTGACTGGATGACAATAGGACAACACAGAGCGCTCCGACTTTAATGGGACGCAGCCGATGACGAGGTGTGTTCAGGTTGGTTGTATTATTCGCAATACAATTGATGACCCAAGGCCCCTGCCTCGAAGGATGCGGTCTTTTTTTTTTCTTTTTTTTCTTTTTTTTTTCTTCTTTTGGGTACCACCTCTTCTTGATCACAGGGGATTGAGTGTTTTTTTCCTTCCTTTTGTTTTTATCTTTTTTGTCCGTCCGAGAAAGGCCAGGGGCAGGGCATGAGGCCGTGACAAGGGTCCAAGGCACGAACATACAAAGTACACGATTGCCTTTGCCCTTTGCCTCGTCCTGCTGATTTTCCGTAGATGAGAAGCCCAGCACCTCTTCGCCCTCCTGGAGGTTGCTCACCACAGCTTGATTCATGGCTCGTTACCACCCACCCATATTTCGAATAGCCATGACATGGCACCAGTCATGAGCCTACATCGAGCAAGAAAGGGAGGATGGCTGAGGGACATGCAGGGGCGCTGGCTCTCGTGCAGCCTTTTACACCTCTGGGTTGGCTGGATTACTTGAAGGAGCAGTCTTTTTATTTTCTCGCTCCAAGGGTCAACGTCTCAGATTGGACTTTGGTATTCGTATACGTGGTGGGCTTTCCACCTAACACTGAATAAAAAGGAACATTGGAGAGAGTGAAGAATGTATCAATGTCCGTCGCATGTAGCAATCAGATCAGATAATACAAGCAGTGCGAGGATGGAAGAAGAAAAAGAAAAAGACAAAAGGTTGCACGGTGTGTGTGGAGCCTTCCACGAGGTGGCTCCTCACTCTTGCTTCGATTCCGTTTGCGAGAAGAAGAGGGGGACGGGCGCATTGAGGGTATCAGTATTATTCTTCTGATGTCCTCTCTCGATCGCCGATGTGGCTCTGGTCTAATCTTACTTTTTGGCCATGTGGGCGCCTCTTGTCCGTTCTCGTGACTGTACGCCCCTTGGCCGGCTATGATTATCCTGACTCGGCCTTTACCTGATCCCAAAATATTGCTTCTATCCCTCTCTCCCTCTCTCTCTATCTTCTCCCCTTCTCCACTCTAAAGAACCAAGCGCAAAGTATGTAAGAGCAAAACTCTTGGCCCGGTTGAGTTTCGTCAACTAAGTCGTTTCCTCCCACTTTAGGCTCAATGGGGGCTGAGCACCACCACTTAGTCGAGCTCGGCCACCTTTGGAGCTTTGGCCAGGGTGGGAAAACACGGGTTAACCTTAAGAGATCCAACTTTGAATATCAATCACATAGTCTGAATGAATTGAACCGTCTCCCACGCACGGAGGTATATGTAATGTTGCGAACGACTAGCTCGTATACTCGGAGCACCGCAATCGCTAAATCGTCCCTTGCGAGACCTAACCAAGCGCACTCGTTAAGACCCTTAGGCTAACCCGGCATGATAAAAACAGTCAATGGATCAATCGAGGCATCTATGGTGTGGATACGATACTTGACTTCGCTGCCCCACGTTGAGATAACTGCTTGTCTATAAGTACAGATAGATATTACGGATCTATCCATCCATTGGATTAATATGAGGGAAGCATTGGGCTGGCGGCCACTGCTTAGTGACCCCCAATCGTCCACCTCCAAGTTGCCCTGCAAGTTCGTGCCTTGAACTAAACATAGGTATCAAGGTCTTCCTCGCGCTACTTTGGAGAGCTTAGGTGTATCAGGGGTTTGTGAACCAGAAGCATCTTCCACCCCATCCAGATCACTGCAAGGTTTCCACTAGCTTTGGTCGCATTCGCAACATTGAATCATTCGACCCCGCTCCCTTCTTCCCTCCCAGCCATTCTCGCACCCAGAAGAAGCAACCATACGCTAGCCGAGGGAAACAGCGGATAACTTTGGCTCCAAGTCAGGGTTTTGAGTCAGTAGCAGCGGATATGGCGGGAGACGGTGAGGATTAATCTGCGCCTTTCCTCAAGCTTACAGAGGAATTGAACGAGAAGAACAAAACGACAGGGGAAAAAGCAACCCGGTTGCTTATCCGGCCCTGGAGAGAAGCCCCAGGGGCAGGGAGCAAAGGCCCCTTCTCCCATCGCCGACATTGACCTCGGCCATTTTTGCAGTCCGCTCTTTTCTTATCAATTGCGAAAGCGGAAATTTTGTCGAGCAGTACATGGGGTACCAGACAGCACCTCCGTCTTCTAGGGCTCTCGCACCATCAATGAGGACCAGATACTTCAATACTTGGCTAGCCAGTCAAACCCGTGCACCAAGCTTGAAGTGTTGATGAACTGAGCCATGGGTTCGCCGGCGCCCCACCCACACCTTATCGGTGGCCCTGCTTCGGGCCATGCCTTGGCCAGGAACGGACAATTCGATGGCTTCTAGGTTCCTTTCCCCACCCCCTCAAAAGCCAGGGCCACCGCCGGAGCCATCGCCAGAAAGGGCTGTCGGAGACCTGGACTCACTGGCCTTCCCGACCCTGCACCGCTCTTTCCGTGGCCCCTGCTCTGCGACGACGACAGGACCAGGGAAGGCAAAAGCCTGGGTTTGTCACAGGTCGCTCGCTGTCTTGCTTTCAAATCAGTGAGCGGGCAAGTCCCACCCTCAAGTGCGCCTTGCCTTCTCCTCGCACACTCCCCACCGGGGACGCGATTCAGAATGCTTCTGTGGGCATGCGACACGGCATGGCGAGCTGTTGTCGAGCTGTTTTGAAAAGAAGGGCTGAGGGTGCACATCGTGTATACCTCACAGGAACGGGGCGGTCGAATTGATCCTGGGCGAGAGAGGCATGTGCAAACTTCAATGCTCTTTGCGATAGCTGCCTCACGGTTAATTTCTCGACTTTTTTTATCTTCATTTTCTTCCTCTTCTGCGTCCTATTATTTGCTTGATAGGGGCGGGTTTTCGCTGGACTGCGATAAAGGTGGGGGAATTGTCTGACATAGACACTTCATCTATTCCACACTCGCTCCCCATCACCCACGCGTCCCATCCTGGATGGGCCAGCCAATGGTCCTTGTCCCTGCTATGGTTTCGAGATTCAAGTTACTCACTCTGGCCCTGCGCACGGTCTCCCCATCAGCTTGGCCAGAGGGAACTTGAAAGAGGAGAGGGCTTAGCATCTCCGTCAACCCATCAAGAAGTGGGTACATCACCCACGTACCTTGTGTGGGTGGGTGGGTGGGTGTGGAGGATGGAGGATGGAGATATGTGCGTGCCACCGCTTTTTTCTTTTCTTTTTTTCTTTTTCCGATTTTTTTCTCTTCCCTACCCACCCCGAATATTCATGGGTGTCTGACACTTTCCACCGCCGTGCAAGGCCTTGCTTGCCCCCGCCGCCGCCGCCTTTGAGAATCCACACCCACACCACACCTCCCCTTCCGGCCATTTCAGACTCGTACCTACGCACCCACTTCCGCACCACCTGCAGCTCAGGTCCAACTTGACGTCCATCGAGCGCTAGCGCCTCCGTTTCTCCTCCTCTTGAGCCCACTTAAGATCCTCGCTCATGCTAACCTGCAATCCTCAACCCGCTGCCCAGCATGCCTCGCTTCCAAATAGGTACAGCTCGCCAGGTACCTCCCTACCTACCTTGTAGAGTTGAGAGGGGGGACAAGAAGAGAGGGATTGAACGGGGGAGAGAACTGAGATCATGAACATCTTAAGATGCGGTCTCCTAAGATTACTTTTGACTTCAAGGCGTAGTCGTGTACACCAATATCTCCAGCCGGTGGCTTCGTCCTTGCCCATTGCACATCCAAGGCCCACAGGGCATGCTATTCAGGGTCATCGGTATCCTCTCCTCGGATGCTTATGCCCGCGCCGATGGCTGCTGCCGGAACATGACAACGTCGGGCTCACGCACCCTTGCCTGTTTTGTTTGGCTGGCCGACTTGGCCCTCCCCTGCCATTACCCTGGCTAGGCTGGGTGCCGATCTGTGCGACTTGGTTCATGTCCTGACCCGTGCTTGACACCTCCACACACCTCTCTGTGCCGCCGTCCACCCGAGCCGGAACTCAATATATCCTATATATACATCCTCCATATTGCACTCACATCTTCTCCCCTCTCACCCCCACATCTGTCCCTATCTGGGCCTTTGTAGGTCTTTCTTCGACCTTAATCTTTTTAACCTTCTTCCCGGCCAGAACCATCTTTCCCGTTCCCGGCGTCTTTCGTTGTGCTCTTCTTTTTATCCTCGCCGCCCTTCTCAGCACACCCTCAGCAAGTGCACACACCTACTCTTCGACAGACCGTGGTGGCTCTCCTGTCCGCCTGACTAGCCGAGCCCGCTTCGAAAAATTGTCAAAGCCTTGGGAATTCCCATCTTAACCGTATAGTCCGAGCCGTTCCCGCCGTTCTATTTGCATCTTTGGACACTTTTGCTTTCCTCGCCTTTCTCTCTCGGCCTTCTGTGCCGCACTTTGTGTAAGTTGAAATGCTGCATGATTCCGGTCCAGTGCCCGTAGCTCTGGAACCATTCTCTTCCCTCCTCTTTTCCTCTTTGTTGTTGCACACCTCCATTTCCTTACCGTCACCCGCCATCAACCTCCGAATCACCATCTCGCGCGCGCTTGGATGCTTGAGCCTGCGTCCGATGGCTAGTCGAGAGTGATCTCGGGTTGATCTGAACCTCGATTCTGCGACTGCTTCTGCCAAAGCCGATCCACGGCGGCTACGCTTCCTCGCCCGTTTCTGCCACGCAAAGCAAGAACGAGATGGCGAACAGGGCAACTAGGCTGCTCTTCCTAGCAGCAGTCTTGTCAGGTCTGTGACTTTATTCAAAGACAAGGATGCGAGACTGGGCAACACCTGGGAGATTGGCTTGGGGAGGGGCACCGTCACAAGCTGTCTCGCCGCGTCCACTCTTACTTCCCCTCACTCATTCAGCAGCTCTTCTTGTCCATTTAGTAGAGTTGGAAACACAAGAACTAACTCAAGATGTGACTTTTAGTTGCGTTCACTCCTATCCGCGCGCAGAGCGAGCGCCCTGAGCGACCCGAACGGCCGGTTGACTTTCCGCAACCTCAGGAGCCATCGCCGCCTCCGACTCCACCGTCCAATCCGCCACCACCATCTCAGCCAACCCCGAACCCCCAAGCCAGCCTCCGTCGCCCCAGAACCCGGAGCCAAGTCCGGTGCCGAACCCGCCGCAACAACAACCTGGAGGAGGCGGTAACCCCGGACAGCCAGCCGAGCAGCCCTCGCCAATCACGAACGACCCAAGCACAGGCAATGGCAACGTGAGGGGAGATAATCCAGGTTTGAGCGCCGGCAAAGATTCCAATACGCCACCAGCGGCCTATCCTACAGGAGGAAACCGGTGGCCCGGCGGTAGCTCTTCGGACACAGACGGTTCCAGGAACGGTTCTGATAAGAACGGTGACAACAACAACAATAACAACAACAACAACAACGATAATACGGACAACGGAGACGACGACATGAATAACAACAACACTAACGGGACCAACGGAGGGACGTCAGGATCCGGATTCTCTACCAACCGCACGCTCATCATTACGCTTAGCACGGTGCTCTCGGTGATTGCCTTCCTAATCGTCCTAGGCACAATCATAGTGTGCTACCGACTCAAAAGGGGAAGGTTGCCGTTCCTGGCTCGAGGGATCTCGCCCATTGACGATGAGGAGATTGAGTCTTGGAAAAAGAGTGCCGCTCACGAGAAATACACGCGGCCACCGACGGCTACGGTCACCCGCCCTTCTTCTTCCGCGGTATCCATCAAGAAACCGCCGAGCGTGATAGTATACCAGAATGCGGCAGGTGGGACCGAAGCACCAGAGCTTTCACCCCGCTCGTTCCACACCGCCAAAAAGAGCATCGACATTCCTCAAGCAGCCGTGTTTGCCAGGGCCCCGAACTCGCGGCCAGGACTTACAGACGATGCCGTGGAGGGCGATGAGGCCTTCATCCCTACACCCAGGCGACATCACTCGAGACTGTCCAAGTCTCACAGGCATGTGCGGTCACGGAGCAGTCAGAGTAGCATGCGGGGGCGGCGTTCCGGCCCAGGAGTGGCAGTGAAAGCCAATGGCCAGGGTCATCTCCTCGTGCGAGCAACGAGTACGCGCACTACTACCCGCGGACGTCCCACTCATACGACCGCAAGCACTCGCGCATCTACAGCGATTCCTCGAACCCACCCAGGTCATCGTTTGATGACGAATACTTTATGGGAGCCATGTCTCCTCGCCCGCTTCTACCCAAGCCCGGCCCCACCCCCGAGTGTGAGATTGGGCGGGCCATCGGCTGAGAGTTTTTTCTTCTTTCCAAGTTTGGATAGGCTACACCTAGTGCAACGGGTTAGGTGACCTGCGACGCTAGCGTCCCGGACGCCCGACGACTATAACTGACATCTCGGAGAGTTTTCTTCACCCGCGGTCGGATACCAACTTTTCCGTTGATGGAAAAGGGGGGAACAAGCAAAAACAGACAAGAAAAACTAAACTAAACAAAAAAGGAGAAAAAGAGAAAAGAAGACCGAAGGGAAGCGGGTCTAGGCCCGCGCAGGGGACGGGACTACGAATCGCGGTGTTCGTCGAATGCCTGCGATATATGAGAGTGGTGCAAACCCCCGCGCTTCCCCTTGTTCGCTGAGAACCATGCTCGGTGCAAGAGCAATGAAATCGGCTCAGCACGGTACGCAAGCTGGAAAGCGGGCTCTGGATGGCCTGGTCTCGAAGGGCGGCGATATCCCCGGTTGACACCTTCTAAACCCTAGCGGCGGAGAAAGAACTCTTGCCGCAGTCACTCTTTGGCAGCTCGCGACTCAGGCAGCCCCACAACCGTTACGGATCGTGGAATCAAGCGCTGGATTTCCACCGAGACCTTGGGCAAAGGTCTGCCCGGCGGTGGGCGCGCGCTGCTTTTTTCCTTCTTTTCTCTTTTCTCTTTTTTTTTTGGTTATAGTGCGGGGTTACCGCGTTTCTCGAGTTTCAGGTTTCTCACGACTTTGTGGGAACTATTCCGCTCCAAGCCTTTTTCTATCTTTCTTTCTTTCTTCTTTCCTTCCTGCTTCTTTCTTCCTTCCTTTTCCCCTCCATCCCCCATCTTCCCATTTTCTTTTTCCTGGGAAGGGGGTGTGGGTCATATTGGATCACCAGCAGTTCTAGCTGTCGTGATCCTGGCTCGCGTCGCAGATCGCACATCATGGCTGTGCTGTGATGTGACAGAGACGGGGATGGGGACGGGAGCCGTGGACAAGGCATCGCATCGCATCGCATCGCCCCGCCTTCCTTGTCCCGATCTGATGGCGGCGGATCGGCGGCGAAACAGTGCGCTGGGGTTACGAGGAAGCAGAGCAGCACATACACATAAGCCCTCGCTGAGGCATCTCTTTGTTCATCTTCTGTCCTAGAATCTTTTTTCTTCTTCTTTCGATTCTTGTGTATCTATTTTTCTCCCCTCACCTCTTGTCACCCACCTTCTTTACCATTCCCTTCTTCTTCCTTTCTTTTTCCTTTTCTCTCTAGCTGTAACAGTTTTCACACTGGCCATCAAAACAGTATGATGGATGGCCAAGCAAAGATATCCGGGAAGCCCACCCCTCAATTTGAGGCATTTCTTTTACTTTATTCTTATTTTCTCATGTTCCATTTTGCCTTGTCTCTTTCTCAAGAGTACATCTAGACGTGCGTCGCTGAGGGGCGCAAGAAGGAGAGAGCTAGGTGAAACGGTGGCGCGTGATGGGGAAAGGGGCGAAGATGCAGGACTATGGTATACAGGTTACGAATGGGCTTTCAATCTTTCTTTTCTATCTTATGGAGGATATACCCCCGGCGGCTGATGTTCACGGACAGACGAGGCCAGGATGGCACTAGTTTGGACCGCTCTCAGTCTGTTGGATTTCTTATCAAGAACGTTGATATATTTCTTTTCTCTTTTCCACTTACACATACTCACACGCACATATAAATATATATACATATATATATATACATATATTTTGCGGTAACAGCTACTCTACCTATGCCTATTAGTGGTCTCCTGGCTTGTACTTCCCTTTCATGGGCATCATCATTCTCTTTGCCTTTTGGCCTTCCCTACAGCCACAAAGGTAGGGTTTCTAGATCTGGTTGGGTCTTCTTACTGTGTCGCAGACCGCATTCCATATCATCACTCTTGCCAAGAGGTGCGTTGTCTGCTCGTTCATCTCACACACGAACTGGGAAAGGGTGAATGGGAGGGCGTCCGGGCGTGGTATCACAATAGCACACAAGGACATGGGAGCTTCCTGAGAAGGAAAGGGCTAGTCTTGGATGCGATCAGGTGCGGGAGGATGGAGAGTTTACCTACGAGCTTGGCTGGCGAAGGCCTGCGGGAGGCTGCGAGATAGACGGAGGAGGCCTGTGGGCCCTGCCTTCACATGTTTACTTTTCAGGCCCAGTTCCTATATAGGGAGAACTTTGCAACTTGGAACCCTTGTAACTGGACATGCGCATGCACCTCCACGCGGCTCTGTTGGAGTTCTCGGAGGGATGATGGCGGCGTCGGGAGAAATCTAAGGTCCGGTTCCGATACAAGGATTCATCGGAAACAAGAGGACCAGCCAGATGCCTGGCAAAAAAGAAAAAGAAAAGAAAAACCAGGAATCCCCAAAAGTCCCCAACGGGGGTGCGGGCTAAGTCATCATTGACAAAGCTCTTGTGGTTTTCAAAGGAAGACGTATCGGAGCCAAGGGCCGGAGGGTGAGGGTGAGGGTGAGGGGGTCAAGGGTGAGGTCCGTTGATCTCAGCGGGTGTTGAGTGGGATTGAAGGTGGAGGGAAAACGGTTGCGTCCGAGTTTGTGTCAGAACAGGGACCAGGGCTCTTGCGCTTGAGAGCTTGTTGGCGAGGACGGGGCCAAGATGTTGGTGACGGGATCGACGCTGGGTTTGGGTTTGGGTTTGGGCCCGGGAGGGTGGATGAGGCCTGAAGACTTGAGACGCCGATTCTTTGTTCTGCGGGCTGGAACGGGCAAGGGGACACGAGGTGGGAACCGCTGGCCTGGTCTTCTATACAAGATGAGAGTTCAACTTGATTTTCGTCATGAGGGGGAACTCGAATGGAGTTTCCCCACCCCCTTTCACCCTCACGCATGCACGAGGCGGGAGAAATAGTGGGCGGGGGATTGGCCAGCTTGGATTTTTGGTGTGAGAGTGTGTGGAGGGGATAATGTAATCGTAGCTGGGCCACCTCGAGAAGCTATTCTAACCTGCGATGTAGAGGTGGAAAAAAAAAAGAATAGGTTAATTCAATGCGTACCCCTTGGAATGGTTCCTTTCTTTTTTTTTTCCTTTTTCTTTTTTCTTTCTTTTTTTTTTACGTCTGGTAGTCTGGCAGGTACGGCCGCCGTCCCTGCACCTTTGGAGGAGATTCGCGCGCCCGGGCTTGCACTGTGGGACCTGGTTACGGAACATGGAAGAGGGGCAGAACGCGGCGCTTGATTTCGCAGAGGAAAAAGATTTGGAAAAGCTTCTATTCTCACCGACCGAGACGACCATCAAAAGACTTGGACAACGCCGTTCCACATTCCCGCATTCTCCATCCTTGCAACGTTGACTTTTGCACCATACGCGCTTCACTGCTTCCTCGGGGTAAATCTACGAAGGGGACCCCGCTACGCTGGTTTCCCAAGGACGAGAACCTTGACATCCCACCAGCGAACGCGACACAGCCGCGTGGGACTCGAAATCCACACTCCAAGGGGCGGGCCAAGGCAGAATACACATCTCCCCACGCCGCATGCGCCTGGCACATCTCACGCGCGCGCGCACTCGTTGAACACACGCCTATTCCTTCCCTTCCTTCCTCATTCGCTTCTCCCGTGGCTTCTCAGGGGACAAGCAGACAAGGCTTCCTCGCGTCGGCATTCTCTCTCCTAAACAGGCAGGAGGCCAACTTTTGCCGCGTTTTGAGGGGGCTTTTCTTTTCTTCTTCTCGGTGCTGCTCTCCCTTTGGGCATCTCTGAGACCAGAGGAGCCCACCATCCACTTGGCCTTGGCCAGTTCAGAGTCACCCGCAAGCATTGTCGCGGACTCAAGGGTAGCTAGCTAGCTCCGCACGCACCATCCACCATCTACTCACCCCCTCCCATTAAGGGAACTTCTTCTCTTCGTGTCCCCTCTCCCACTCACTCTTGAAACCTCGTTTTCCGACCTTCCCCGCATCCTCCTTCCGCTCGTGCTACATTTGCCATCCCCACTCCCCACGTCCTTTTTCAGTCTGCCCTTGCCATTCGTGGGCTTAGCCACTTGTCCCGGCTCCCCGGAAGAAGAGGCAACAGGAGCTTGAACCATGCCGCGGAAAAGTGAAGGCGGCCGCAAGAGCGATGTCGCCGTCCGTCCCGCTCCGAAACCCGCACCCGTTGCCGAACCCCAGAACGGATCCGGGTCGGCTTCCGAATCCGAAGCCAGCACGGTAGACAAGGCCGATCAGGCCTCCGCGCCCGGCGCCGCTGGGACGGAGAAAAAGACAAGGAATCTAAAGAAGGAAAGGAATCTAAAGAGCCCAGGGAAGGAGTGAGCATTGATGTGCGTGTAACCACCTGTGCCATTGTGCCTTGTTCTGATTCTCTCCCCTCCTCGTTTGCTCTTGTTCCCTTCATTCTCTAGCTTCATTCCCTCGCTTCCATGGTAGACTAACTCTTGACTGTGGCCACCAAATACAGGAACTAAATTTGCCCAAATCCATCATCACAAGGTTGGCCAAGGGCGTATTGCCGCCACACGTCCAACTACAGGGCAACGCCGTGCTGGCTCTTAGACAGAGCGCCACCGTCTTCATCAGCTACATTGCTTCCCAGTGAGCATATGCCCCTGTCCTCCGTATCCTTATATACGTCTTGCACACCTTCTAACAATCGCCTCTTCCACCCTCCGGCAGTGCCAACGAACACGCCCAAAGTGCCGGCAAGAAGACCGTTCTTCCCGCCGATGTGTTCCAAGCCCTTGAGGATACCGAGTTTGGCTTCCTTCGAGGCCAACTTGAAGCGGAATTTGCTAGTATGTCTTCCTCCGCCCCTTTTTCTCTTGGCTTGGACAAGCTATATCCTTCTTCTTTTGGTTGGTCCGCTGAGCTAACATGGCACCCTCTCCTTTTCTCTTCTTCCCCTCTACACCAGAGTTCAACCAGACTCAGGCCGCCAAGCGCTCCAACTACCGCCAGAAACAGGCCGCAAAACGTGCCGCTGTCGATACCTCCACACTCAGCGCCGTCGAGGGCGACATCTCCACCAACCTCGACCCCGATACTACCATCGCCTCTGACACAGCCCGGTCAGGCCAGGACCGTGGGGCCCGCGCAAAGAAGGCTAGGATCGAGGGGCCGGCGCCGACGCCGCTGGGGCAGGAGCAAGAAGCGCTGAGGCGGACGATGCCGAGACGGAGCCGGAAGAAGATGCAGAGGAAGACGAAAACGACGAGGAAGAGGAAGACGAAGAGGAGGACGATGAAGATGATGACGAAGACGATGAGGAAGAGGAAGAGGACGGTGACGAGGATGAAGAGGTTGGCGTGTTGGAAGATAGGGAGGACTTGGATAATGATGACGAGGATGACGAAGCCGAGGACAGCGACTGACCAACTTAGCTTATGTGCATCAACCTGCTGCGTGTGGTATAGTCACGATGAATGAAGAAAGAAGAAGAAAAAAACAATAGACCCTTCACAATCCCTTTGGAGCCGGAAGATGGAGGGAAACATGCTGCCACAACTAGTTTCGTACCTGTATGCACCAGTGTCAAGTCTACGGCCAAGAAGCACACACGCGACAGAGCACAAGGAGGCAGCCAGCACATGCATATATATTCAGACTTGGCCTACCGAGAAATAAGAGGAAAACAAGTGGATAAGTGGATTACGGGAAACAACGTAGCAGAAATGGTTACAAGAAGAAGGAGAATCGTAAACTGAGTGACCCAACCCAAATAACCAGCAACCTCCCTGACCAAAAACGGGGAAAAGGGAGAAAAAAAAGAAGGAAAACGAAGCGAGGGGAGGGGGAAAAGTAGACGGAAAAAGAACCCCCGACCCGCCCTTTGGAAAGGAAGAAGAAAAAGGGCCGGAGACGGAGGGGAACCGAGGGAAAAAGAGCAAGCGCATGCCTCCCCGAGAAGCCGAGATAATCCAAAGGCGACACAATGACCAGAGCTCCGCAGAATGTGATGCAGCGGTTCCTTCCCACCTTCCATATATGCTTGCTTGTGATCACCCAAGAAGAAAAAACAGCCCAGAGACCAAGGCCTAGGAGGAATGAGGGAGTGGGCGCCGAGAAACCAATGTCTTCCAAGTCACGAGCAACGAATCAGACCCCAGGTACAAGGCGGATGAAGTAGAAGACATCAAGAAATACGCAACGAGGTATAGATTTCAGAAAGCGGTAATATAAGGGGAGATGTGGAAAAGCACAACGAGAGAGAAAAAAAAAAAAAAAGAAAACAGAGAGTTAACAGACAAACCGAGTCCTCCAGTTGAATCGAAGAAGCAGAAGAAGAAGAGAACACAATAACAACTTGAATTCCCCTACAAAGAGGCAAAGGCGGGAAAATAAGAAAAAAGCTAAGAAACCGTGAGAGAAACGCAGATCCCTGACCCAACAGCCCCTTCCATTGCCGTGGTATCCTTAATGATGTGCCAATACCAAACAAGATTCCCCTCCAAAATGAGAAGAAGAGGAAAAAAAAAGAAAAAAGACGGCAAAAAGACAACAAGAGTGGTGGTAGGGACTAAATCAAGGTCGCCAGAGGGATCCTCGACATGGCCCAAAAGAAGCAAGAGGGAAAAAGCCAAGAAGAAAGGAAGAAAAAAACAGGTCGAAGAGAAAAGAGTCAAGCAATAGGTGTAAAGCCGAACGAACGAGACTAGCAAGAAAGCAGCAGAGTGGGAAACCGATACAAGCGGTAGGTGCCGGGAGAAGCAAGGAAAGAATCGACAGTGCCATTATGAGCCGTTACAAAGTAAGCTGGTAGATAAAAAGAAAGGAGGGGATAGCGATGAACTAGCGGGATTAAAGGAAATGCGGAGGGAATAAGAAAAAGAAACCCTTCCAGAACATGAAGAAATTCGCAGAAACTACATTGAAAACAGGATCAAGCCGCCCCCATTACACTCCACATCCCAACCTATACCCATGCCGGGGCTAGCAGTATCATATGGTCGTCTTCTCCAAGACAATGCTCCCTTCCCCATGGCACTACAGACCATTCGCTCGCGTGTCACCCCCAGGCCAACGTTTCGATTCGACTTTTGACCCTTTTGGTATCGCTCTCGTGGTCGAGGATATAGGAAGTGCCGCGAGGCAAGGGGCTAGGGGACAGTGAACCTGGAGAAGCCAGCCGTTCTCTGTATACAAAAGGTGCTTTCAACCTATTCTCAACACCCTTGCTTGCCAGAAGAAGAAGAAAGGGTAAAAGAGGCTAGTAGCGAGATCCTCCACGAAGATGGCCAAATTGGAAGCAAGAAGACAAAACAAGTTGAGATAAACCTCAGTGAGCAACATGTAACAAGGCAGGGGAACCAACCCGGCTTTGAGGCTCCTTCGTATGAAGGCAGATAGGAAAATACGAGGGCGTGTGTTGGAGAGGGTGTCGCGTAAGAAGGGCGTGTAGGTGCGCAATGATAGGTATTGCTTGGTAGGAAAGTGGAGATGCGAGAAGGGGTTGAGTTGACAAAGGGAGGGAGGGTAAAGGCCGTGGAAATCCAAATAAACGAGTATGAGACTAAACATGCGCAACGCTAGGGATATAAACGTTGATCCGATTCCACCGTGTTTCCTATACCAGCCCGTAGACAATAAAGAGAAAAAGAAGAGTAAGAAAATCGTTGGGGCCCTCGGCCTCAGGGACGAAAGGCGCCCTTGAAGAAAGGGAGTGGACGTTAGCCCCTCTTGCTCACAAGGGTCGCTCTGAATTCGCCAGACAGCTCGCTCCCCAATCACTGTTGCTGCGAGTTGGACCACCATTGCTGCGTGGTTGGTGTCTGCTGGTTCGACCACGTCTGGGAGACAGCAGGCGTGCCCTGAGTGTTCTGAGGCATGTATTGCCTGGGAGTCGACTCGGCCGGGTAGATGCTCTGGCCACCGGCGCTGTAGCCTTGGCTCATGCCTGGCATGTTGGAGAACTGCATTCCCGGCTGTATTTGCCCACTGCTAGAGTGTCGGAGCTGGGAAGAAGCTGGCTGCTGGGCGTGGGGCTGTTGCTGCTGATTCTGCGTCGTATAGCCCGGGTAGGCATGCTGCGGTGTCTGAGGCGTGGGAGGCCACATCTGACCCGACTGAGGGTAATTGTACCCTTGGGTCTGGGATATATTGCCGGTCCCGCTCGAAGAGATGGAGGAGGCCGGTCTAGCATTCTTTTGCGTAGACGTCTGGGACATGCCTCGAATCGGAGCTTGGCTCATTGTGCTTTGCGAATGGATCGATTGCGAGTATGCCGGCGAAGCCATCATCATCTGCGGGCTCTGGCTGGTCATGATGCCCGACTGCGGCAGCCCCGCAGCGGTGGTATGAGGAGACTGGGACGGCCGGCTTGTGGCAGGTTCAGCGGCGGGCGCCGCGGGAGTGAGGTTGGTCGTTGCAGGCTGATCATGAGGCCGCCTCCAGAGACTGTGGATATAGTCGTTGCGCATGTCACGCTGCTGGTTAATGGTCCGGTTGAATTCCGCTGCGTGGTGCGCCTGCGCATTGAGTTCCGAGACGGCAGAAGGTCGAGTCTGATCCTGGTAGGCCGGTCCGGTAATTTCCTGCCGAGGTCCGCCCTTGAGTATGCCACTGTAGTCGCGGTTCCTGTTGTCGTTGAGGTCTGATCCAAGTGTTATCACGGGCATTCTCGATGCGGTTCCTAGTGGTCCTCAATCATACCTGGTTGAACGGATAAGGGCTGGGCTCCGGGGAACGATACTCCCGGGGTATGGTTGTAGACGATCTCGCCATGGGGTCCATTGAGCATCACGTTGTTCTGCGCCTCGGCGGCAGCTGCGGCTTCCTTGCACGGGCACCTCCGGGTCGTTTCTCTCCAGCCAGGTCGTTTTCCGTAAACCCTTGCTTCCGGGCCTTGGTCTCCCAGTAGTCGTCCCGGACACGTCGGCCGTTGACAATGACCCGGCTTCCAAACTGGCGAAACATGGACCTGGCGGTAACAATGGCAATCTGCCGCGATCGATAGGAGAAGGGGAGAATTTCCTGGGCTACCAGGTCATCCTTCTCGACCTGGCTGGCGATGATCTTGTACAAAGACCTATTCTTGTTAAACAGCAGATACGAGTCGCGGTATCCGAGAACCCTCGCACACTCGGTCGCCAACATGAAGAGCTTATCGCCACGGTTCGGAACGAGGAACGTCCGGCAACGGTATTCTCGGCCACCCTGAAGCTGCCCGTTTGGCATGACTTTCTTCTCCCCAAACTCGTCCGTCTCCCTCGGAATGTATTCGTCTCCCGCCGCGTTGAGTTGATCGGTGGTGTGGTCCCTCACGGTCGGCAGGGCCTTGAGCGTCGTCTTGGTCGGCGTCGTCTTGGCCGGGGCAGGGGCCGGTGCTGGAGCGGGAGCATAAGAACTCGGGGCCTGTGCCGTGTGCGCTGCGGCCTGGGCCTGCGGCGTTTGGGAAGGCATCGTAATGGCGCGCTGGTTCGCGGTTGTCGTGACTGGCCCTGCGGGCTCTGGAATTCCGCCTGCTAATTTGGTCTTTGTCGATTTCCCACGCTTACGTGGATTCGACTCGTCTATCGGGTGGAATGAGGTCATGATTAGTTTCCAACGGAAAAAGAAAACGAACGAGAAACCTCTCGTGCTTCCATGCAAAGGCAGCGACTTTTCGTTGCACGACAATAGGGCCGTGTGACGTGAAAACCATGCGTAAAGAGAGGATTATGGATAGGTGCGACGGGAACGCGAGAGAGATATCACTTACTATCGGTTCTGGCCACGCCGGAAGCGAGGCTTTCTTGTTCGTCGTCGGACCGGCTTCGTTTCACTCCTCGGGGGACCGCTGCGACCAAGTCTTTTCGACGCGCAAGAAAAAGCCCTAAGTCAGCAAATGACTTGCGTCCTTATGAGTAGAGGTGTGTGTTTCCTTGATAGAGAGAAAATAAAAACTTCAGTTTCGAGATACGGCGACAAGGGGAGTGGGGGAATAGTAGATGGAGGGAGGAAAGGCAGGCAAAGCAAGAGGTGTCAGAGGGCAACCAAGGGCCCGCGAAGTTGTGGTGGCGACCAGAGGAGGGGTGGCGTTGTTGTTGTTGCTAGCGCACTCGCGGAGGAAAGCATGACGGCGGGTGCAAAGAGCGGGGAATGGCGTAGGACACTCGAGACGCTTGGTCTGAAGTCGTCGATGACAGATAAATTGGACATCGCGAGTCGATGGTCGTCCAAGATGCGGCTTCGTCGCGAACGATGGCTGCGACGCTAGGTTGCGAGGCGAATTGTTCTCGATCGCGAGGCGGGGATGGACTTGAGACGGGCGGGAAATTGGAGCAAGGACGAGGCCGAAACGGCGAGAAAGAAATCACCAAACATACCTGGAGAGTTGAGAGCTGCCGGATTGATTGTCGCACTATCAGCGCTATTTGGCTGGACGGAGTACATTGATTACGGCCACAGCCGGCACGTCGAAAAGGCGAAGTTGGATCACGACGTGTCGTGAGATAGTTGGAGTTGGAGGTTTGATGGAACGCGCTGGGAGAAGCAAGCTTTGGATCTGGAAGCGTGTGGAGGGAGAGATGCAAGCAGGATTACTCGTGCATATGGTTGGCGCAAGAGCGAAGCGTGGTTCTCTGGGGAGTGAAGGGGGTGTCGAATAGTGGGCCGGTTATAAGAGGAGACCGGGAGGAACAGACGAGAAAGAGACGGCGAGGGTATTAGAGACCACAGGGGGGAGGAGAAAAGAAAAAGAAAAAGAAAAAGAAAAGGCGAGTAGGCGTCCAGGAGAGACTACAAGTAGATTGAAATTAGGTCTCCAGTAGGGTTGCAGAACGACGGCGGGAACATGACTGGGGGTGTGGATGCATCAATTGATCGAGTGCAGCGCACTTGGAGGGTGAGCGGGGAGGGAGGGGACGGCGGTAATACAACATACTTACAAATGGGGAGGAGGGAAAGAGATCGCTGCAACTGGCCCTTGTGAGCAATACTTGTCGTTAGAGACGCACGCTAGCTCCCTTCTGCCTGCACTGGCAGATTAGTGCACTGTACGAAGTATCGAAGTACCGCCTGGCGCACAGAATTCCGGAGGGGTGGGCTTGGCAGGCTTGTCTTTGGGATGGGGCGTGGACGTAAATCCCGGGGCGGAGGAAATCAAAGAGAGAGAAGGGGGAGGGGTGGGAGTTTCGTTTGGAGGTTTGTGGGTACCGTCCTGCCCTCTGTCCTAAAAGTGAAGTGGTATCCGTCCTTTGGCGACGAGGGATGGCAGAGATGTCCTGTGAGCGAGGGCGAGGGGACGAAGCGAAAGCGTATGCGAGAGTGTGTCCCTGAGTGACACCGTGCTGACTGCTGACACTGAATTGTCCTTCAAACGTTTGACGAGCCGTGGCCCAAAGACGAGTTACCGGTAGAGTTGGTCCAAGGCAGCGGCCAAGCAAGGGGAGGCGAGGGAATACAACGGAAGAGGGGGATGGGGCACAGAAGCGCACATGGGCCGATATGGGAAGAGGGCAAGGCTGAACCGTCAGCGTACTCGTGGAGTCGCGTTGTCGTATTATCAGCGGAGAAGGGGTGAGGAGGAAAGACGCAATGGTCGATCAGAGGTGATGTCGATTGGTAGTGAGGGTGTTGTGAAAGGATAGGATTCTCCGGTTACCTGCTCATGGAATGGGGTGGGGGAGCGCCCTTGTTCCTGGCAAGCACGGTTTGAGGCTGAGCACAGAAAGCAAGTCGCGCACGCGTGTCACAATTGTCCAAGAAACAAGAAGGACACTTTGTGGTAGATTAAAGAAGGAGGAAGAAGAGGAAGAAGAGGAAGAAGAAGAAGAAGAAGAAGAAGAACTGGAGAAGGGGCGGCTGTCGAGTGTAAGAGAGGAGAAGCACCACCACGAGAGCGATGAAAAACGAAGAGAAGGAAGAAGGAAGAGGAAGATGAAGAGAGGGTGAGAGGCTGGTGAGGAGACCAAGAAGCGGCGTGTGGCGGAAATACCTGGTTTTCCGCCCGCAATACTTCAAGTTGTTACAAATGAAGGATACTACTAGATAATACGACTAACAATGGGGCGGAACAGAGTCGGGGTAACTGTCGTTCCAGATAGGCTGGGGGTAGCATCATGCCTAGGCCCCGAGAATGCTTAGCGGAAGGCAGCTGAAAAGGCAGATGAAGTTGTGACGAACCGCCTAGTAAGGGCACTCCTCGGAGACGTGTGCCGCCGGTGATGAGCGGAGGAGCTTTTAGCTCATCGTCGCGATGGTCCACCAGCCGTTTCCTGCACTTATCCAGCAATGGCGCTCCAGCAAGCACGAAGATGGAAAATAAGATATTATAAAATCTCAAAATATAAAAAGAGGGGTTTCTTCTGTTCAAGTTCTCAATGCTTCTTGCATCCTTCGAGTCAAGTGAGAGCTCTCATTGCTATGTTCCCAGTGTTGGCGTACGTACACTGGCGTTGAGACCCCCAGGTATACATCCATCCATTGTATAGATAACCTCTTTCGACGATTCGTGTTTCGGCAGGCTACGGGACATGCAGTAAGCATCGCGTTGGAAGAGCTCAGCATCGCACCGGTCCACACGAAGCTCTATCCCCCGAGCAGAGCGGCGGCGGAACGCCTCATCAATGATCAAATAGTTTCTTGTTCGAAATGATGGTATCCCGCAGTGTCCCAGTCCAGCGTCCCACTGCTCGCGCAGTACGCGCGATCCCCGAGTGCAGAACGTGAAGCGAAACTATCCATCGCTCACTCAATCCTCATGCCGGGGATTTGCGCGCCCACGAGCACAAGAGGATGGCCGGAGTGACAGAAGGGAAGCAAGAGCAAAGGAGGGGAGGGGGTGTGTTCAAGATTCCGGTGGAGTGTACGAAGTACAACCGCAATACGAGTACAGGCGGGGGATATGCAACCCGACCAGGGAGGAACAAAAGTGGAGCACGGACACAGTCCTGCCTTCCTGACAGGATCAATTTACATTGGCTCCTGCCGTCCATGAGGATGCTGGATGCTGGATGCTGGATGCTTGACAAAGTCCAGATTGTCGACAGGTACTCTTGGGACGCCGTGTACAAGCGATTCTCCCAAGATCTTGGTCCAAGTGAAGGACTGTGAGGGACTTCGGCCATGCGGGTGACAGCAGAGGTCGACAAGAAGCACGAGGTACCTCGCGGCCAAGGCCACTTTGTCTCCTGCCGAGGAAGAGGCCTCGTGTCGTCATCGGTCATCCGTACTTTGCTATTTTCCATTCTTTTTTGGTTGCTTTTTTTTCTTTTTTTCTTTTTCTTTTGGTCGTTTGTGCCTCCTGCCCTTCTTGTCTTCGCCCTCACCTCGCTTCCGGCTCGATTGCCAAAACGCAAAAGGCGACGCTGTGGGAGTGGGAAGAGCGTGATACGCCGACCTGCCTAGTCCCCTCGCCGCCCAGGTCAAGGAACCCTCTGCATAAATCCATCTTCAGCACGGTGGGACGGCAACGGGCGCTGATTTGACGACAGCCGACCAACTTAAGATTGAAGATGTACAAGTACACTCCCGAATAAAGAGAACGAATATCGCGGACGCGTTTGCTCTTCTTTTCTTGAGACATGTCCCCAATCAATAAATGTTATAAAATAACATAAGCCCCAGCAGGGAAAAGGGAAACAAAACAAGTCCTACCAAGTAGTATCGCTTCGAAAGCCTTGGAAAGCGAGGCGAGACAAGCAAAGTCAGGTTTCACCAAGCTTACAAGCAGAAGCCTGTAATGGAACACCGGGCTCATCTCAAAACATCCCCAGTTGACTCGGGAAGCCGCATCGGAAAACGCGGGCTTGCCAAATCCCCTTCACCTTTCCCTGGTCGAGGTCAACTCCGAGAGAGAGCAAGACAGAGACTTTTCTGGATTTTCCTTTTGGTAGTTTGGGTCCAAATAGGAGAGCTGGCAAGAAAGACAAAACGGATTGACGCTACTATTCCGAGCAAAGAACCCTAAGATTTCTGAGTTGTCTGGGCTCTGTCCACATGAGCCATCAACTTTGTCCTTGTGTCTCTAGCACGGCCGTTGGTTTGGATCCCGAGCCTCTCACAGGCTAGCTAGTGTTTCTTAGCTCATGAGCATAATGCCCCTAACGATTCCAAGATCAAGGTGCGAGCGGGGTAACGGAGAGCACGGATACTAGACTGGCAAAGATGGAGGAACGCCCACCTCATGCTTGGTGTCAAGGGGAAACAGTGTGGACCCCATTTCCGTTTCTCTTTGTTCGAGCGGCAAATCTGGGGTTGAGGGTTCTGGGGGCCCTTCGCACTGTCACCTTTGATCAAAGGATGGATGCGATCGGGCTGTGGCGAGACGAGGGAGAGAAGGAGGGAGACTTGGGAGAGTGAGAGAGAAAGAGAGGGAGAGACAAGAGGAAACAGATACCAAGTCCTTGCCTCCATCCCTTCAACCAAGGACGCACACCTCCCACACACACCCACACATAGGCAGCCGAGCAATCCATGGGATGAGGAGGGCGTGCGCAGAATTTCCGATAAGGGGGTGCTTTTAGGGATGTAGACAGGTCAAGTTGAATCGACAGGGATGCCATTTTCGGCAAAGTACTCTTTTTCTCAATGGACCTTGGATTATCACCCATTTTCGAATGCGGGCTTGTGGCGCTGTGGAGAGAAGACAAACACCTCTCTTCATCTTACCTCAGTGCAGTGCAGTGCAGTTGCAGGCAGGCAGTTATTAGATTGTTTTTTCGGGCTGGCTCGATCCGACAGTATCCCTCTTGGACGCGGTTCGCACTCATTGCGTCGAGCTTCATCCGTCTCCAGCTTCAGGCTTGAGGGAAGTAGGCTGGGTAACCTCCCAGCCACCACCCACCGGCATTCATGTCCATCCAAAGCAATTGAAGGCGCTGCACTGAGCCCACCAAATCTGTTGGCTTCAATGTTCTTGACAGCGGCCCCCAATCCACATCATACCTCTACAGGCTTTCAACGGCCACACTCCGCCCCGGAAATCACTGTTATTTTCTAACGTGGAGTGCTTGCGCTTCGAGCACCATCCGGTCAATCCGGCGTGGTGATCTTCGACATTCCCCTCGCAGCCAGAGCCACCTCAATCAATAAACGTCATGTCGACTAAAATGAATCTCGCGACCCTTTTTTTCCTTTTTTGTTAGTCGAGCGGGCGACCAGAGCCGACAAGGTTTCGGGATGTCAAAGGCAGATCCAACACGCCCCTCGCAATTTCTCGCACTTCACCCGGCCTGAGAATGATACTCGAGCTGCCCGGTTGGTCTGCTAATTGTTCCTCTCTCTCCCTCTTCTACCTTTTTTTTGTCCCCTTGGGCATAAATTCTGAAAACAGCACGACTTGCCTTCTCCATCATGCTGCAGGAAACCATGTGCGACAACACCAGAGTCACCCGCAACGCCGACGCGGCTTCTTGTCCGTTATCTGCCTGCCGTATCGGGTCTGGTCTCCTCTCTCTAATAAACGAGCCCCTCCAATCCAATCTTTCGGGCATCTTTGCAAGGACGGATGCACTAATTCGCCTTCAGCTATATATAACCAGCGGATATGGCGGATGGGATTGAGCCGGTGCAACCGGAGGCCCCTTCTGGTAAATATCCCGTCAGCTCGGGTAGACCAGGCACATGCACACCCAAGAATACACAGCAAAAGCCTGCTCCGCAACAAAACATGCCCTTTATCTTTATTAAATTGAAAAGCCCTCGTCTGGGGCGAGGAGGGTGGAGAAGGGAAGGGGGCCGTAAATGATTGTTTGAATCCAGGAAATCGTGAGGACTTTTGCCATTACTCCTGGCCTGGCATGGCAGAGCCTCAAGCAAACAAAAAGCCGTCAATAACAACACTAGCTACCCGGAGCCCGGGCCTGGCGACTCGTAGAAATCGTCACCGGCCAATTCCATTACACGTAGACTATCCACAATCAAGTGACGAGATACGTAATAATATAGTTTCCACTGGATGAAAGAGGCTGGCCTCAGCCACGCTGCCTCATCCCTTTCTGACGTCGGCGGATCAGGGAATTCGAAGCTTCCTGACGAGGCCAAGGTGCAAGCCGGCGCAGGATAGCGTACCATCATTGTATTACTGACCACTCCGCATCCCGAGACGCCCACACACATACAACTATACATCCACACACACACACGCACACACACATGTACCCACACCCACACCACACCCATACAGATTTTAACCTCCGTCCGCACATACACACCACGCGTATGCAATGCCTTCCCTGGCCTTCCTGGCGCCAGGGAGATTATGAGAGCGCATACGGTACGATTCGTAGATTCGCCCAGGCAGGCGGGAGAAGGGGAGCGGCTAGGAGACGAAATGAGGGAACCACCACTGGTATCGCGGTTTTTTCTTTCTTTTTTTTTTTACGAGGCAAGGGTGGCCCTCGATAAGGCACAAAATCAACGTCAATCAACGCGGGGACGAGAACCATGCGCTTGCCAGCGGCGGACTGACACTTGGCGCGTTTTGTGCAGGTGAGAAAAGGACCAAGATCGACACTTGAGCGCCATGATGGAGCGATCAGGTGAGACAAGAAACAGCGTGGGGTGCTCCTATCCCGAGCTACGTGAGGACTCGGTCCAAGTACTACACGAGAAACGAAATCCAGCGATGGTTTATCAGAGTGAAGAACGAGAGAGAGAGAGAGAGAGAAAAAAAAAAAGAAAAAGAAACTTTCGTCTTGTAGAGCGCGTGGCCAGTTGACTCCTCTGGAAGCCTTTTGTCCGTGGTGCTGGCGTTTGCCCCCACAACTCGAGGTTCCACAGGGGACTTCACCAGCAGCACGCCAACCGAGACAAAGAGAATTCGTGGCGGTCCTCGCCGCCGGGCCAATCTGCCAATCGACGCAAATTCCTTTTTAGGTTCAACTGTCAAGCCCCTCTAGTCAGACTCGAAAAGATTTTAGCAAAGTGCTGGGTGGGTCGCAAGTGGATGAGGCAAAAGAGACGAGGGGAAGCAGGATCGATGAACGACACCATCGGAGGCTCGTCGAATCGCCTCTCGGCCACCATAGGGATGGCAATTGGCATGGCACACCCTGGGCCGGCCATCCTCCATCCTCGGGGTAGGGTAGGTGCAGCGGGAGTCGATCTCAACCCCAGATTTCTCACAGGTTGCCTTCCCACACGGACTCAAGGACAGGGTCCTGGACCATCCGCACCAACATTGGAAGGACAAGGTTACCCGCTCAACCTCAATTCCCTTGGTACGTGCAGAGACAGGCGGAAGAGGATGGTTGGAGGGGGGGAGGGGCAAGGGCAGAACCAAAAGCCAGGAGGGAGGGAACGGAGAAGGGGTGGGGCCTCTTGGAGGATGGCTTCGTCTCTGGAATGGACGGATGGCCGCGCGCGCCTCGTGCAGACTAGCGGTAGACTGTCGAGCTTCTCGGCTCGATGGAATCAAGTGAAAGTCCCGAAAAGGATCAAGCGGCCGTGATACCCCATCGGTGACACATGGGCTTGAGTAGTGGGCTGCTTGGGTTCAAAGTTCAGAAAGGTTGCGTGCAAGTGGCCCCGCCCAGGGTCGGATGGTGGTGCAGGGGAAGGCAAACTCCAATCCCCATCCCGTCATGGGCCCAAGGGACGAAACTGAGACTGGGACTGTGAACTGTGAACTGTGACAGTGCTGGCAGCCTTCGTTCGTTGTGTCACTGTGCAAGTTAGGTTCTAGATGCGCTAGTGCAAACGCTACCAAATGTATGATTGGGGTTCAAGTTAATGCAAGCAATTCGCAAGGTTAAGCCTGCCTCCTCAAGGGCGACCGTGCAACCGAGACCCTCCTCTTTCCCACCCACCATCTTCGGGCCCTTTTCTTTTTCTTTGTTTCTTTTTTCTTCTTTTTCTTTTCTTCAGATTGTGCTCTATTCCTTTCGCCAAGGGCCAGGTTTTTTGTTGGCTGGTTTTCCCCGGAAAATGGAACCCAAATTGGCGGCAACCAGTTCCGCAGTGGAGAGACAAAGCAACTGGCCAAAGCGCCCCCTCTTCCATCCACGTCTGTTAGAAGACCGGCATGCATTGACTTCGCACGTTCCTTCATCAATGTGAGAGGTGCTTGGGAATGGGGTTGCAGAAGAGCAACGGGCAACAATGCGAGGCCGGGAGAGAAGATTGA